TTTGAGTCTACAGGATAAATATAATAGAAAGACAACAAGTATGGAGCTAAATTTATTCAGTCAATTATTTCTATATTAAACAAACAAAGTATCTAATAAAGTCCTTTTAATCTTAGCCTTGAAAACCTTTTATTCTTTCATCTTCCAGTGCAAAATTCAAATTGAATTTCAGTTGTTGAAAATAATGATATTGGTAATAGGAATATGCCATTTTTAAAATCAATCTTGCCAGAGCATATTTCAGAGCATTGATTATCTAGACAAGAAAATTTGGGACTTTTCATACGGTTAATACATGGGCAGTCCCATTTCAGACAAAAAAGGGGAAAAGCACTCCAGTGAATAATTGAAATAGCATTTCTCATGACAATATTTTACCTAAATATTGCATTTGATTGAATATGCACAAAAATCTTTTCAAGACGATTTAAATCACTGCTCTGCATGTATACTTTGCTTTACCTTTGAAGTCAATTGGCCTGGAGTTTGAGAGGAGGCCAGGAATGGAGCAGTGAGCCCCCCACATCTGACCTCCTCAGATGAAAGAGGCCATTTAAGTACAAAGCACCATAAGGAAGTTAGCACAGCTACCTGCTCCACACGCTCCCTGACCGTGCCTAACTCTGCTTCGCCTGTCAGTACTTTGAGGCACAGGCATTGTTTCTACAGTAGAGTGTGCAGAATTTAATTGCATCAAACTAGCACAGGAAAAGTATCATCAAAAGAGGAAGGTTCCATAAATATCCCACTGTGTCTCTGTGAATAGCAGATAACCTCTCCCTTTGGAAGTAAAACACAAGGTTAACCACAGACATTTGTGCTGAAAGGGTTACTTTCCCCAAGACCAGAGCATTCTGGACACGCCACCTTGTTAAAACCTATCTAAGCCCCAGGACAACACCCTGGACTGGGGGTGTACACTCACTGCTCGATTTTTTTCTCTTGAGTTTGTATTTTCAAATAGCAAAGAAAATGGAGACCTGGAGGCAGGTAGGTGGAGGGAAGGGGTGTTCCCTACTAAAAGGTACCCCTGGTTTGAGTAAAACACATTGTTGAATATGAAGACATGGTGCCTTTTCCTTCTAATAAGTCTCCTCAAAATTATCTGCTACATTATTTCTTCTTTTTGAGTTTTTTAATCTTAAATAATTTTATTTACATGAGTAATACTAACAATAAATATCCTTCTCAAGAATTAAGTCATTACTAAACAGCTGCCCAGGTCACCGGCTCTCGCTCTTGGCCCCTTCCAGCCCTCCCCACTCTGTGCCCGCCCCCCCACCGTGGGGTGATCACTCACAGGAGTTTGGAGGGTATCATTCCAGTATTATCAAAGTACTTTTACCACAAAATAGTTTCTCATCACTTGTTTTCCTATAATTAATTTGTTCCAAATCTTTTCTTCACAAAATTATTGTCAATTAGGATGAGAAAAAGCTATTTCGTGACAATGAGCACGCTCTGCTTTGTGAGGGTTCTTGTTAACTTCTCTGTGAGTGACCCGTAACTCTCCAGTCATGCTGGACTTAGCTCCCTTCTCAGAGTGGGACTGACGATCGCCGAGGGGACCTCAGAGCCAGCTTTGTGCTCATCAGGACAGGTTTTCCTCCAGGTGCTCCCCAGGAGCCCCCACGGGAGCCGCAGCTCCCTCACCGGTCCCGAAGCCTCCCCCTGGCCCTGCGAGTCTAGGAACCCGCCTGTTTCTCTCTAATCGCCGCTCAATCTCGCACCTCCTTGCGCGCACTTGACTGTAATCCTGGGTGAGTCATCGCTGCCTGTGGACCTGGGAACAACGCGGTAGCCAGAAATAACCACAGCCCATAAAATGAAAAGCAAGGAAGCAGCAGAACGTGCCGAGGGACACAGGGGAGCGCCCTGAGCACAGCTGCTGGCCCCGTGTCTGGCTCTGCACCCACGCCCACCCTCCGCTGCAGCACCGCAGCCAGCACAACCGACGGCTGCCGCCCGCCTCCCGCCGCTCCAGGGCACAGAGACCAGGGCAGAGCCCAGGGTCAAGGGTGTTTTGTCAATGTTGAGTGAAGAAGAAAGTCAAAGAGCCTCAGATATGAAGAGAAACAAATGTTGAGATAAGACTTGACACAAATGAGAGCCCCAGTTAGACAAGATGGAAAAGGGAGCCTGGACGGGGAGCTGACCCACAGCAGTCGGAGACCCAGAGCTTCTTCAAAGAAAAACGATCCCTGTTATGGGGTAAAATCAAGCCCCTTAGCTGGATGCTATTAACCATGAATGCCACTGAATTAAGCTTCAATGAACACAACTTTCTAAAGACAATCTGGGCATCCGGGTACATTTGAAACAGGAAGAACTAAGCTGTGTGATTCTAAGAAGACTTACTGAAGACGCACCTTTTCATATGTGTGCAAATAATGTACATGCACGCGTGTGATTGCACCCCTGTATGTGTGGTCTGTCCTTTTAGCATGAGGGCTGAGAGTCTCCCCAAAGAGGGGGTGCCCTGTCAACTCAATGGCATTGAGTTTCTGAGACTGTGTGTTTCTAACACGCGGATCCCAGATTGTGGTTAGTTCCTAAAAACCACCCAGGCTTCCACTCTTTCAGCCTCATGCCTGCCATCAGGAGGAACCGGAATCCCCGCGAAGTCCAAGGCCCACTCACACTTAACAAGGGAAAGTGATGTCCCATAGGGATTAGCTTTGCACAGCCACCAAGACAACTCAGAGGAGAGGTCGTAATCTTAAAAATCTGGATACGTGTCATTCTAAGAACCAAGGTTTGCTACCAATAGTTGAGTGAAGAATTCATAAATATGCGTTGGTTGACAATCAGTTCTCAAACAATCCTGTGAGGTGTCAAAAACATCCTCTCTTCAAATGAAATTCCTGAGGCTTGGAACAGTAAGGGTCACGTCTAGAGTTTACAACAAGCCTGGAACAAGACAGCCAGGGCTGGAGCCAGAGCTGGTTTAGACCAGTGATGCTCACAGCTGTGCTGGGGACCAGTTCTGAGAGGTGACTGGGGGGGGGGGGCAGGCTCACCTCCAAGACGCTGCCCCTTGGAGATTTCAGCCACGCTTTGTCATTTTAATCATTAAAATTGACCTGAGGACAGATGCCTTCCTCCTGTCATTTGCTCAAATCACCACTTAGAACACAAAACCAAATAAAAGTTAAGCCAAGATTAAACTACAGCCTGCCTGACTCTCTATCCCTCTAGGCTGTCCACATCATCACGCATCCCTGCCCCCTCCTATTTCATTAACTAATTGGCTTCCCCAAACTGCCTCTTTATGGAATGAATTGTAGGCAGCGCCAGAGGCAAGGGCCTTGGCCAGAGGCGTCAGCGTCTGCAGTCTTGGAAGTTGTACAAGCCTCCTTCCACAGTCCCACTTGGCGCTCAGATGCCAAGGGCAGGTTCCTCTAGTTGACTAGAGTGAAAACAGCCTCCATCTATCCTTAAGCTTAATTTCATGTTCCCTTCTGATTCAACAGTTCAAGGTACGAAAAGCCTCTCTTCCTAGATGAGGAAGGTGGGGCTACAGAAACAAGGATCGAAGAGCAACAAGCAGAGAACAGACAGTAGCTGGCACGCCGCCACATGCCAGCCCAGCCACTGGACAGCCCGTGATGCTCACGTGTTAGGTGATGCAGACATTCCAGGAAACCCCACTTTTAATCCTGCGATCACAATGCCAGGATGACAATACACCTTGTAAATGCCTAGGCCACCCCAGGCACCGCTCCCCTTAGGTTCTAGTTGTACTCAAAATCATCACCTAAGGGCGGGAAATACCTCTGCATCCCAGCTCCAGCACTAACAATGTCACAGACAAAGCCATCAAGACGCCTGCACCTCCTGGACACATAGAGCTAGTCTGATTGCCAGATGTAAAACACCTGATCTCCATGAACAATCCAGCGTGGGCAAAGCATCATTACAACCGCAACTGCTTTGTGACATGATGAAAGTTCTCCTGGTGGCCCAGATCAGCAACTCCGGTACATGTAACAAAAACCATGAGATGATGACGGAAGGCGTCATGTCTTACACAATTTCAGTGGTGTGCTTGGAGGGATCCTCCCAGGCCCAGGCAGATTGTATCATGGGGTAGAAACATCGAAATTTTACCAAAGTTTCCAAGTTCACCTACTGCCTGTTATCACTTAAGTAAAACAGTATTAGCAAGTTGAAAACACACAGATGACGTGTAAACAATGTGTATTACATCATTTGGGTCATTTTTCTACTTAAACAAAGACTTCATGTCATCAGATCTCAATTGCTTCCCTGTGATATTCTTGCAGTTTAAAATGTAATGACCAATGTTTATTGTAATAAGTGCTAACTCATCATAAAGAGAGCCCGTCTACATCACAGGCCCGATTTAATATGAACAGGTCAAAAAAAAAATTGACATAGAAAGCGTAATTATGTAATTACAGATTCTGTCTGCCAGACCTTGCAAATGAATATTTGAATGCAAAGGGTCTCCATTTTCTTTTCATCCAAATTCTTAGGAATTTGCATTTCTAAAAAGAGATTAGACTACCTTAATCTGGGACCCATTTGCTTAAAAAGTCATAATTTTTGGAACAAATGAATTTTTTATTCAAGTTCTCCAAAGATCTTTTTGATGGATACATTTTACAATACTATGATTGCCTTTTCAAGCTTATTGGAATTCAATGTGTAATTAGTTTTTTTATTACAGACAGCCTCTCAAATTACACATTTCAGCATAATGGAAGTCTACTTAATTAAGTGTGTCGCTGATGACCACGCAGACCCCAGCATCATTACACTTTACCTCTGGTGTAAGCTATATTTTAAGAAAAACGTATTCTCCATTCAAAATTTATGAAGTGAAAAGACAGAGCGTTGAAGCTTTGGCTTTAAATTACACTGGAAAATTCTTTGGAAAACCATGAAGTTGTCTCTTTGAAGTTCTTGTAGTAAGAAGACAGAAAAACAAAGGAAGAACAAGATATAGGGAAAAGTTTAAACAAGTTCCAACTTACCAGGTGTGAAATTGTATCGGGCTGAAAATCCCATAGATTCCAGCTCTCCATCTGCGAAAAATTTAATCCATAGAAATCGTCCACTGGATTTTATCACAGGTGGATTTTGTTGTCCACAGAAACGTCCAATTATTGGAGAAAATCCAAAAGGTCCATCTCGAACCTCAATGTGATCAAACTTGCACTCCCAAGATGGCTCGATGGAGTACTTTTCATCAAAGTAAAGTTCTATGCACTGTCTTGGGGCAGCTGGAAAAAATGAAATGCCCTTTCTTAATTATTTTGATTTTTCTGATTCCACTCCCAGTTTTCTGTCTTACCTTCTATCAAAATTTGAGCACTGTGTGCACAGAAGTGCTAAGCAAGTATGCCATCCTTAGCATTTTAAGGGACAATATTTCTGTAAGAATGTCTCTGGGATGATCCTTAAAATGGAGGTCAGTGCATTAACTATTATTCTGAACGAAAATGACCGCCATTCTGATGTCCAACATGGAACTATCACACACGGTATTTTCTGAAAGGCTGCTAACTCAGTGGACAGGCATCTTCCTGCGACTTTCCCCATATTTCCTGGACTGCCCAGTGGTGATGTCAGACACAACTTGGGAGCTAGGCAGCAGAGTCATCAACCAACACATAGTCCCAGAGGTCCTAAACAGTCAAAGTGCAACATCAAAGATACCAAGAGTAGTTTTTCTACAGCGGAGGTCCCATCACTCTCGAGCTGACACTTAGGCCTCAGCCCCCACCGGGCTACAGGGTAATGACCAGTGCATTGGACACGTAAGGCCCTTGAGGGCGTCCAGGCCCACACATCCAGGGTCTTCAAGCCTTGCACACAGTCCAAGTTCAAGCCATTTCAAACATGCCATGTTTTGCACACCAGCACACTCTCTCCAGCACTCATGTCTCTCTCACTTCTTTAGTATCTACATATCTCCAATTTGTTCACCCCTGATGCATGCAGGACAATGTCAATTAAAAGAGGCCTCCTTTCTAAGTCCCCTTACTAGAGACAAAACCCATAGCCATTCACTGTCTTTTTCAGCACTTGGCACAGTTCTTGTCATTGAGGATTTCTCAAAAATATCTTTGTTGGGTGGACTGCAAATGAGTTTATTTTCACACGTGTTGCCATAGCTGTCTACAGAATCGTGAAGGAGACGCCAGGCCAGCAGCCCCGCCCGTTAACTGCAAGCCGGTGCTTTTGCTAGTGCGCCCCGTTCTCTGCGTGTCCATCACGGCTCCAAATCCTACCATGATTGATATGAAGGAATTTAAAATGTGCAAACTGGAAAATACTCTAGGAAATTATCCGGGGAGCTGCGGGACGTGGAAAGGGACGCTTGCAAGAGACAGAGACGTGGGTGGGAGACCGTGGCCGCCTTTATATTGACTTGGATTTTGATTTTAGTCTTTTCTTCCCAGACTTGCCTGTTGGCCCCTTTTCTGTGGTCCCCACCAGAAGGTGCCTGAGCCTGTGGCGGCTCCCGGGCCGGCCCTGCTCTGGGCCAATCCTGTTTGGCTGGACATTTGCCCCCAAGGGTGTGGGAAACTGGATGTTCCACTGAAAACTGTTTTAAACTATATTCCTTCTCCCCCTCTTCTCTCTGTTGCACACTAATTGTATTAAGGTTTGTTTTATTGAAAGTTTTAACGCATCGGAGTATGTTTTGTCTTTGTGGCAGAAGACAGGACTTGGGGGCCCCAGGGTGCCCCTCACTCTGCCTGCTTTTAACACGAGTCCTTTTATTCCTACCTTCCTTTCACCATCAGGGAAGGTCCCACACATTTGCAGAATTTTGCAGAAACCTCTCAGTTCCTGCAGGCAGCCCTCGGTGCGCGGGGGTGGGCCACACCCCGCGCCAGCTCCCCTCCTTTGCTCCAACACGAAGGGAACTCCACAATCCTGTGCACTAGGTGCATTTTAGAAAGCAGTGAAATCACTTTTTGACAAAATATGTGTCATGTAGTTCTTGCCATAGATTTTAGAAGCGAGTGATTATGGTGCACACGAACCATTTAAAGCGCTCTAGAAATAGCTCCCTAACTTGTTTCCTGCCCCTTCAAACGTCTCCATCCATAAACACCTTTCCCGGCAGCAGTTTCTACAAACCATCTTTGATCAAAACCTAAAGCTCTTCTTCAGTGAGTACCGCTGGGCAGGTAGAGGCCGACGTAGTCTTGCACCCAAGTAACGCACAGAACCCAAAAATGGCCTCCTGTTTGAGGGAGTTTTAAGACCAGGAACCCACCAAAAAAGGTCCTTTCCTGACCTAATCAGTTACAACCTGTGTCACCTCAAACCTCAGGATACTTGTCCCTCCTTCTTTTATATTTTTAATTTACCTTCAAGGATAGAACAATCTATTCTTTTCATATTTAAATAAGACAATTTGCTCTATTAAAATAAAAGACTAAGAAAAGAAGAAACTGTTTCCAGCAGGGCCCACCCTTCATCCTGCCCTCAGGCCCACCCACCCTCGCTCCATTTCCAGGACAGCCCCACCTGCATCCTGAAGTCCCCTCAGCTTCTGGAGTGCTGCAGCCTGCAAGCATTTGATTTGTTTTCAGCCTGCTTTTCATTGTTGTCACAACAAGCATTTGGGGTCCTCCCAGCCCACTGACCCGTCCCCACGCCCTGGCCTGCTGCGCTGTACTTGAGTGCACTGTCCAGCCCCTCTCCCTCCTGCCTTCCCTGTTATGTTTCTCCTTCCTCTGGGCGGCGGCAAGTCTTGTTTCCTAGCACTCTCCTCCGCTCCTCCCGCTCTGGGGGCCCTGCTATCCCCAAGGAGAGTTGTTACTTGTAAACCAGAGGCCGCTCTACTGAAGGCCACTGAGCCAGGATTCCTGGGCCCCGGCATCTGCATTATTTGAAGACTTGAAAACAGCCCTTCAAATACTCCCTGGGTGATTCTGTTCATTCCAACAGCCTCAAGACAATCTCCCAGTTCATGACCTACACAGCCCGGACTTCTCCATGGAGCCCACGCTCCATGGACGCGATCTCCTGAGACAGCTCCAGAGACATCAGCTCAAAACAGACGCGCTTTCCTTTAAACCCTCGTTCTGCACCCACGGTCCTTGCCCAGCCTGGCCATGCCGCCTAGCAAGTTGCCAAACCAAAACCTTTACCAGGGTCCTGGGGTTTCCTGTTACTCATTCTGGCATCTGGGCACTCATGGATCAGTTCCCCACAAACTCTCGCCTCTTCCTCCACTCCCTGCCCAGGCGCTTCTGTAGCTCAGGCTGTTGGTTCCCCTGGAATCCGAGGGCAAGTCAGGGAGAATCAGGCAGCCTCCAGGACAGTGCGGGTGGGGACCGCGGAGAATTCAGGAAGGCTTCAGAGATCAGGGCAGCAAGAGGAATGTGCTAACACTGGCCTTGGTTTCCTCCAGGGGATCCAGGATGGTGGAGTTGGGGAAACGGAGAGTGGGTTAATTAGGGCAGCAGACCCATTCATGCCAGGGGGAGACGAGAAGGGTCAGCACGGAGACCCGTGGGCGCCAGCCTGGTTTTCCTTCAATAGCTGATGGTTGACTTTCTCTTCCCTAGCATGCAGGGGTGCTCATCCGGGAGACGGGGCCATAAAGATAAATCTATCAAGCAAGGGGGAAGATGCAACACTCGGGGAGAGACACACCTGTTAGATAAGGAACGTGAAGATCCCCCACTGGGCAGCAGATGAAGTGAGACCCCTGAGAACTCACCAATCACAGAGAGACGGGTGGGGCTTTAGAACAATGAGGGAAAGAAGGTCTATGTTCCCTGAGACACGACTTCACTGTGGCTTCCTTGCCCTCCCTGGCCTGGTTTCACGGCCTGTTTCATGGCCTGGTTGTCCCGCTTTATTTCTGTTCCTTTTCTCCTCAATAAACTTTTTCTTTCTCTACACAAACCTGCCTCTTCGCGCTCACTGGCCTGAGCATCTGCAAAGTTCCTGCTGCGGCTTCGTGAGACACCAACCTGTGGTGGGCTAGTGGCCTGGACTCAGCGCTGCCCCTGCAGCCTGGGATCCGTCCCTGGCGGGGAGACCAGGCCTGACAATTCCGGTATCAACCTGGTCTCCGGCAGGGGCCCCAGTTTGCATCCTTTCCTTTCAGTCACTTGCTGAGCGTCTCCCTGTATCTCTCTTCCTGCCTCACCGCAGACACACCCCACTGTCTCCTAAGGCCATGTCAGAACTCTCACAGGCAGAGCACGAAATCCTCAGAGGCATCTGGTATCCGGGACTCACTTTCCCCCCTCACTCGAGGCCGAAGCCCCCGTGATAGGACGGGGTCCCCACCTACACCCCAGCCCTGAGCCGCTCTGTCCACGAGACTTTCTCCTGGATGTTCTTCAAGTCTGCCCGTAGCATCTCTTCTCCTGGGAGCCTGTGTTTTTTTTCTCTCCATCCCAAACACTGCTCACCTGGGGGGGCCCTCAGACTGCTTCCTGAAGGGGGCGCGTCCCAGACCATTTTGTCAGTGCATAAGACAAGTAGCAAGTCTATGTTGTCCAATCCCCTCCAACTGTGTCTAGAAAGGCGGTAAGCAGTTGCTCAGCAAACACTGTGTTCAATTAATGGATGAGAACAACTGCTTGTGTGACTTATTTCAAAAAGAGCCTAGAAGTATGATTAATAGTAAAGAGATTCTATTTATTTCCCAATTTTAAATTTTGTCCTTGACATAACTACAAATAAATGTGAACATGCGCATGACATTAAACCTTATGTTAGCAATGCTTTCTAATTCTAATAAAAAACATGAAAGCACAATTAACATGCAAAGATTTGTTTCTGAATTAATCTTTTTAAATGAGCCAACTAGATGATTTAATTATTTTTAATAATTTGGAGTTTTAAAATACTGTTGCTTCAAAACATAAATTATGTCAGATGAACTTAAGCGACATATTTAACCCCTCTGGTCCTAAGTGTCCATATTTGTAAAATGGGGAAACAAAATACCTACTTCCTATGATTAAATGCCTTTATATGCTTTATAAAAGTTTCTAATATAGAAGCATTGATAACAGATATATAAAATAGATGTGTGATATTAACCTGATAAAAAACACCACTAATTTTAACCCAGAATTTCCGTATTTCCATATTTCCTTTTCTATCAATCATGAGAGGAGGAAAAACTGCCAGAGCTCAGCTTCATAGTGTAACAGGGGGGTCCCCAGGAAAAGGGGAGGTGACAGGTTCCCTGGCCTACCCAAGGGAGGGTGGAGCTGAGCAGAGAGAGGCTGGAGAGGAGACTGGGGAAGGAAGGAAGCAGAATGGGGCGCAAGGAGGAGCCTGGAAGAGGCACAGGCAGCAGGGAGACTCGTGAAGAAGGTGCTCTTGCAGGGAGGTCAACAATGGCAGCGTTGGCCTTGATTTTGATTTTGCTCTTTTCCTTGTCTGGCTCTTTCGGACCCCTTTCTTCTGATGGGTCCCCACCAGAAGGTGCCTTAGACTTGGGGCAGGGTTTGCGGCCTCAGGGTCTGGCTCTGGGCCACTGCTGTTTGGCTGGACCTTTACCCGCGAGGGGATGGGTAACTTTGGGTGCTTGATTTAGAAGCTTCATCCTTCCCCATCCTGTCTTGCACACTAATTGTATTAAAGTTCCTCTCCAGTGAAGTTCTCACGCACTGGAGTATGTTTTGTCTTGATGGGGTGGATGGCAGAACCTATTTAGAGTGGGCAGGTTTGGGTATTTTGGGGTGCCCCTCTCCCTGTCCTGTAACAATAGCTTTCTTACCAGAACACACTCTTTTTCCTACTTCTTGCACTATGTTCTATCTTTGCACAAAGCAAAACTTCACGTACGACAAGGAGAAGAAAGTGCCTTAGGTCAAACATTACAAAGAGAAAACGAATTAGTTCGAAATAGAAGTTCTGGAAATCAGTTAAAAAGAAAGTGAGATCTTTGAAAGATCCATCAAACAAACATGTCCCTGATTTGTAAGTAAAGACTGAACAGGCATCGTTTTCTTTAAGGCATTTCTGCCTGCCTGCCTGTCTGGGGAGAGCGAAACAATTGCAAATTTGGAAATACTATGACCTAACACTTGCAAATTGAAATCTTCTGTCACAGAGGAAATGTTCACATATTTTTAAAAGCTGTACTTAATTGAGTGGTGTCTGCAGAGGTAACGGCAATAGGAAAATGTTCAGAGAGAAGCAATTCTGCCTTTCCGAGCTATTTACCATCCGAGTTGGGAGTTGGGGGAAAACGATAAGATAAGATAAGCATCAACACCTGGAATCCTGACTTTGGGCTCAGGTATGATAATGTCCCTTCTGAGCAGAAACCAAGGCAACTGGCATTCAGACTGATGTTCAGAAGGCACAGCGGTGGGCTTATGTGTGGTTTTAATACGTTTTCTGTGATTCATATTATTAAAGTAATGACAATGAACTTGTAATAATAATAATGAATTTTCAGTTATTCCAATGATTGTTAAATCAGTAAAATACTAGTATACAAAGGCCATGTTATGCCAGCTCTGCTCCCACTGCTTCACTTTAGAATTCCAAGTCAGTTAAATCAACTGGAAAACAAACTGAATTATGGACTTAAAAAAAAAAAAATTCCCAGAATTGCCTTGCACAGAACCCATTACTGATAACTTTAGTACTTAGCATGAGTCCAGATTTTACAGCTGTCACGGTCACACAGAGACACTGCTGTCCCTCATCTCCAAACACAGTTTCGGTGAGGGCTAAGGGCCACGGCCCGCCCAGGCAGAGAGGGCCAGGGAGAGCCAGGCTGCTGGACCTGGGGCAGCCAGCCCTGAACTCACCTTCTATGATGTAGATGCACTCTCTGTCAGGGGGGTACTTGCTGGGATAGTTGGGGGAGGTGAAGATCCCCCCCTCCGCATGTTTTGTCCAAGTTCCACACTGCACTGACTTCTGTGTTTCTGAGGTGATTTGCTTTTCTGTAAGAAAAAAAATTCAATAGAATGATCATCCCCTTTTGTCTAAAACTAACATAGAACATTCTTCTAATATCCATTAGTAAATTAATCTCTAAATGTTGTCTTAGTCAAAGCCAAGCAATTAGACATACTATAAAAATGTGCAGCTCTTCCAAAATATTAAGAATACGGGGAAATAGGAAAATGCAGGCAGAGGTCTCCCAGCCCCATCTAAGAAACACACACACCCCCACACACCTGTTCCTTTCTTGGTTGCCCCAGACAAGTGAAGGATGATTAAACTTGCTACAACTGAAACAGAAAAGAAAAATTAGAGACACATAATATTATTATACACTGAAACGCTGCAACTCTTTAACAGCATCCGTTAAAGTACAATTTCAAAGCAGACCGATTTTTAAAGTTACTGTTTTTTGCTAATGCTCTGAGTTGACTCCGAAAGTGCAAAAAAATGATCCAAAATGTTCACATCGGGAAAACTTAGGAATCCCTTCAGGAGGTAATGCAAGGTAAGAGTTGGTGAGACCCAAACTCCCAAATGCAAAAATTCCAGCTAAGAGGCCGTGTTTCTATCTCCTGGAGTCACCTCAGCCGGAGGAACACTTGGGGCCCACACTGCTCCCAAGCCAGCCTTCACAAAAGGCCCTGCCAGCATCTCCTCAGGAAGGAGGAGGCAGCAGGTACAAGCATGAAAAGGAGGAGTAAGCAAGGAGAGAGACTCCAGACAGATCCCAACACCTTCCCAATGGGGTTGAATATTAGAATAAGGAGGAAAAAAAAAAAAAAACTTGGGCAAATCCTACGCCAGTGGGGAGCTGGGGTGGGGAGGGGGAACAGGAGGCAAACAGATTAATGTGATTTAGAGGCATTAAGCTGCATCATAAAATTGCTCCTTATAAAATCATACTGAGCTACCAAGGAATCCCAGGCCTCAGCATTTTTAAAGCCCCGCTATTGATCTCTCTAACCATAACTTTGATTTACTCTCTATAACTCCCAGAAATAGGTGATTATTTTAAGCTAGGCGATTTTTACAAGCATTTTATCCAGACATTTTTTATAGATCAAAAACAGGCTGCATGCACCTTAGCAGCTATGTCTGCAAAGACCCCTAGAGCCCACACTGCTGTTTTCCTTCCAAATTTTGCATCACTCAACATTTGACAAAACCTACCGTCATCATTTCTGGGTTTCCCGCTTGCTACATCATTTCTACCTCTATTGTTGCCTATTCACCCAAAGGAGTTATCGGGTACCTCATCCTAAATCCACTTAAAATTAATTCGTGAAGGGGTGGGGGGTCATCACCCTGGTCTCCGCAGCGGGAGCCCACTCGGGGAGGGCCTAAGCGTTTTCCCCCAAGAAGCGTCGTGGACCTCGCGGCCAGCCTGGGGGGAGTCGCATCCCCGGGGCTGCTCTGCGCTGGCGCCGGGTCCTCGGCTTTTGGAGGAAAACGCAGCCGTGGCCGCGGTGCTGACGCGGCCGGGCACAACTTCCCCTAACTTGCCGGAGTCTGCGCACACGCGGGCGCGCAGGGGCCGGGCCGGGCCGGGCTGGACCGGGCCGGGCCGGGCCGGGCGCGCGGCTGGGGTTGTCTTTACTCCGCGTGCCGCCGCGCCGGAGCCGCCCGGGCGCGGGTGCAGGATGCGCTCGGAGCCGCGCCGGCTGCCGGCTGGTGTCACGGGTCCACAGTCCCCGCGCGCGCCGCTGCGAAACCCCGGCACACACGGTCCTATCCGGCCTCCTGCCCGGCGACTTCGGATGCTGTTTTCCTCGGGGGCCCCCCACGGCACGGGGACCCCGCTCCGGCAGCAGCACCGGGCGTCCCCGGCAGGAGACGTGTCCCCTGCGCGCTGCATTTCAGGTGCCCCCCAAACTCCCCGGCGGAGTGCGCGGGGCGGTGGGCCCGCGGCGCTCCCGGAGCCCCAGGAAAAGGGAGATTCCTCCTCGCCCCGCAAACTCGCGCCCCGCGCTCGCGCCCCGGCACCTGCGCCCCCGCCCGAGGCCCCCCGCGCGCGCCGCACGTGCCCCGCCGGGAGCGCCCCGCCGGCCGGACACCCTGTCCCCGCCCGGGCGGAGCCCCCGGCCCGGCCGCGGCCGCCCCCCGCCCCCCGCCCCGTCCCGCGCTGCGGCAAGACGGAAAGTTTCCCCGCGCCGGGCGCGCGGGGGCTGCGGGGCGCGGCGCGGCGGGTACTCACTGGGCAGCGCGCCGCGTCCATGGGTCATGTCTGAGCGATACGGCGGCGGCTCCGAGCTCCCCTAATTCCATCGAGAGACGGGGGCGCTTCCCGGGCGGCGCGGACGGGCGGGCGTGGATGCGCGAGCCGGGCACAGGACGCAGGGGCGCCGCGCGCGAGCGGGCAGGGGCCGCGCCGAGCCCACGCGGCGGCGAGATCCGAAGCCGCGCGCCCTCCGCCCCTGCCTGGCGCTCGCCCGCGCTCGCTCCGCGGCGCAGCCGGCACCCCCAGCCGCCCCGCACGGCGCGCGCATCACGCCCGGGCGCCGACCGCGCGGAGCTCCCGGCGCCCGCGCCCCGCGCCTCCTCCTGCCCGGGCGCCGCCGCGGCCGGCGGGGGACGGGCGGGCGCGGGCGGGCGGGCCGGGGCGCCCCGGGGCCGGGCCGGGCGGCGGGCGGGGGCCGCGACCGACGGCAGCGACGGGCGGGCCCGGCAGCAGCGCTCAGGCCCCGGCCGCGGCCGCCGCGAGCAGCAGGTCGGCGCCGCCGCGCGCGCAGGGGGCCCCGCCGCCGAGCTCCGCGCGCCCGCCCTCGGGCGCCCCCCGCTGAGGCAGGGGCGGCGGGCGCGCCGGGTCCGTCATGGGCTCCCCGGCTCCGCGCCGCCTCTGCGAGCCCGGGGAGGGCGGGGCGGGGCGGGCGCGCGGGGGGGCGGGAGGAGCGCGGCGCGCGCGGGGCGCGGGGGGCCCGGGGGGGGCGGGGCGGGGCGAGGGACAGCGACCGAGGGGCGCCTGAGTCACCGCCGCGGGCCGCGCGACCCTCCGCCAGGCCGGCGCGGGGGGGCGGGCGCGGGGCGCCCCGGGGCGGGCGCGCGGGGTCCGGGGCGGTGGCCGGGGCTGCGCGCCCGCGGGGCTCGGGGGCGGCGGGGGCTCCCTCGGGGGGCGCGGGGCCGAGCGCCCCGCAGATCCGCGCCGGGCCTGGCCTCCCTGCGGGGCACGGGCGCGGGGGGCGCGGGGGCGCGCGGGGTGACGTTTCCACATTTCCCGGCCGAGCAGCCGCGGGGTCCCCCCCCCCGCCCTCCCGTCCTCGGCCCGGGGGGCGCGGGCTCCGTCGGGGGCGAGCGCGCAGGGCTCGGGGCTCGGGCCAGGGAGGCGGCGCGAAAGTTTCGGGGCTCGTCACCCGACCTGCCGGCGGGGGTCGCCCCGCCAGCCGCTCCCGCCGAGATGGGGGCTCGCAGGTCACCTCCGCGCCCCCCGACGCGGCAGCCCCCGGGGCAGCCCCTCACCTCGCGCCCGGCCCGGCGGGGAGGCGGGCGCGCGCGGCGCGTGAACCCCGAGTTGCTGGGGAAACCGCCGCGGAAAAGCCCCGGCTCCAAAGGCCCCTGAAGGCAGCGGCGGGGTGCGGGGGGGTGCGGGGGGGCCTCCTGGACGCCGCCGCAGCACCGCGCCCCGCCCGCCCCGCCCGCCCCGGACTCGGCCGTCGAAGCCCGGCCTCCGCCTTGGCGGCTGCGGGTCCCCGGGGGCGCGTGGCCTCAGCGCCCGCAGCTGGGGCGCCCCGCGGCCGGACCCGGCTCCCGCGGCCGGGAGGGGGTGGCGGGCGGCGCCGGCCGTGCGAAGAACCAGGCTGTGGCGAGCGGAGCGGCCGCCAGGCTGGGGTCACCCCCAGGGCCGAGGGGAGAGGCCAGGGCCGGGGGGAGGCCAGAGCGCGCTCCAGGCGGGGCCGCTGCCGCGGGGCGCCCCGCGTCTCCCCACCTCCCCGCACCTGCTGCTGCGGCGCCCGCGTGAGCGCGACGCTGGGGGCTCAGGCGGCGGCCGTCCTGCCCTCGGACCCCGGCGCAGCGCCCAGAGAGGGGGGCCTCTCGTGATTTTAGATAAGGGCTAATGAAGTGACCCCCAAGTTGGAAGGGGATCCCCAAGGCCCAGGCATGGCCTCCAGGACTCCTGACACCCAGCTTTGGGGTCCTGGTATCCAGGCAGCTGCAAGAAAGGTAGGTAGTAAGGGGGGAGAGTGTGTGTGCGTGTGTGTGTGTGTGTGTGTGTGTGTGTATGAGCGCACGCGCATGAGCAAGAGCCTGGGAGGGAAGGGTCTGGTCGAGAGGGGAGAGAGAACGGCGCCAACTTAACTTAAGAGAACCAGGCCTCCTTGGAGAGGAGCAAAAGGAGGTGCAGAAGATGGAGAGGGGCGCAGGGGCGCGGGGGCGGGAGCCAGCGTGTGCTCCGCCCGCCTGTGAATCTGGGAGGAAGAGGACGGTGTGGGGAGCGCAGGAAGAAGGTCCCTGGGGTCCTGTGACCCACGTGGATTCTTGCACCATCTCAGGAGGGAGGAGTTGGGGGGCGGGGGGGGGGCAGTGCGAGGAAAATTCTGCAGCTGCATGGAAGCCAAAAGCTGCCCAACAACAGCAAGGCCGGTCAGTGACCAGTCGGTGCAGGGCCGGCAAGCGCACCCCAACGCGCGAGAGCCGGGAGCCCCTGGAGAGTGGCCCGCGGAGCCGGCTCACGGTGGTGTCTTGACATCTTAAATTGGATGGGAATTAATTGTGATGTGTGGAAATGTCTTCTTCACAAAAATAATAACGTTCTTCAGTGAAACGGTGACCTTAAATGACTGTGTCTCCCAGTGGCCAGTGAAGACAGGAGGAGGGGGTGGGCTTTGCTGAATCCACCCCTCAAGCAGCGCTGACCTCTCCTCGACACAGATCTTGGGAGCCGGCTAGGAAAGGCCGCAGGGACATTTTCCTAGCATGTGGCTCCAACAGGCAAATAGGGGAAGATCCCAGGGGCAAAAATAGAAAGAGACCCCAAACCTTTTATTCTCCTCTGCGTCGCTGCACCCTAACTCAGGGCCAGTGTGTCTGTGTTTCCTGTCAGCTCCTCCTGAATCGTGACCTCTCTGAACCCTGAGCCTTCCTGAGATACCCCTGGGGCTGAGGACTTGCTCAAACCTCGGTGCAAAGGGTAGTGTCCCTGCCCCGGGCGCCCCACAGAAACACACTCAAGTTCTCCCCTCCTGTCCCAGAGCCTGGAGGGACACCTGAGCTTTCTTTCACTGCTTGGTTCCTCCAGCGCGCTCCTGCAGCGTTTGGCTGCAACTCCTTCCTTGAAGATTCTATGCATGTTCCTGCTCAGATATGCAGAAATGCTTTGACCACGTCCTGCTTTCTTGGCCAACTGCTTTCTCACTCTGGAGTTCTGAGCCACCACTTGGTGAGGACTGGCGGACCCATACATTTTCCTGAGAAAAACCAGCCTATGGGCAAAGATCAGTTTCTCCCAGGGGAGGTTATGCACCCATGTGGCCGAATTTCAAGATGTGGTTATTTGAAAGGAAGACTTTCCAAAGTAACAGTGCTTGCGAGCTCAGAGGGCTGTCCTAGAGACCAGCGCTCCACAAGTTCTCCTTGAAATCGACAATATTCGTATAGATGAGGCAGAATGAATGCCCCTTGAGCCCATTTAGAGTGTCACTGTTTTCCTTTAAACTTGCACCTTGCGGCAATGAATGTGCAGAAAGATTTCCAAAGCCCTGAAAAGAATTGGTGTGGGACAGTTGCTCTTCTGCTTCAAAAGCATGTGGTATTTGTCTCCAAACAGGCCTACATGCGTGCAGCGTTCATAGACAAGTATGTGCTTTGGGATCAGAAAACAAAGACGGGGTAGAGATAATAAAGCTCAGACTCACCAGAGGACTTTCTTTAATCTGCAGTATTGGCATCATCTTCAATGTGACTAAAGGAGCTGATGCTACAGAAAAAAAAAAAAAAAAAGAAAAGAAAGAAAACAACCTAAAATCGTGCCCTGACACATTCTAGATTGAAAATTGCTTGATGATTTCCAAGTATGTTTTCATTTACTTACATAGTTTGGGTTGGAAATTTCTGTTTTGTCTTTTTATCAACAACAATATGTGCAGCAACATCCGTTTATCAAAATATGTATTAATAGGTGATTTGATGCCACGTAGTGGAATGTTTTAAAAGCATTTCTGCAATCCTTTAGCATAGAGCTGGTTTTATTGAACATTGACCGGCTCTGCGTGTCCTGATAGAGTAGAGCATTTTCATACAATCGAAGACAGTTAACATCGTGGAAATCTTATATTTAAATGAGACAGGATAGTCTATGAAGATGACTGTGGGAAAAAATGGCTTTCTCAGAAGTAGGACTATCTTGTATCATTAGGGATCTCAAGAATATTGGCAGAGACTTTCCCAATACTATATTCTCCACCCAGTTTCGAGCAGCATTGCCCGTGCTGTCCTGCATTAAATGACAGCAATGCTCGGGGAACAGTGTATGATTATCACTATCTGGAGAAATGGTAGAACAAAAAAAATTCCACAATCTATGCTAAAATTTTAGAAAAACTTTATTTTCCTTCTGACTAATATTTAATTAACAGTGGCTAATAAAATAATATCCAGATTGCTATTTATAATCAACATCTTACTTACCAGCTAGTAATCCATTAACCAGCCAAAGCTAGAAGAGCATTTATCAAATACGTGCCGAGAACAAAAGGTATGTTGCTCTGAAAAGGAACTGACTATGTAGGAGTATCAGGCGGCTACATCCACCGTGAACTTGGGGAGAAAACAAGTTTCCATCTCTAGCTGCAAAGAGGAATTAACCATATTTGGGAAATGTAAGCTAAGCAGAAAAATGAATCTGCATGTTCTCTGCCAAAACGTCCAGTCATGGGTACAAAGACAACTCTACTAGAAATCGCTAAATCAAGATATGTGAATGGTACTTATAGGTTAGATGTAATTTTTTTTTATCCTTAGTTATATAAACGAATTACATCACCCAAAGCTGCTTGCTTTGGTTCTTTTGGACATGTCATTTTATCCTGATGTTTCATTGGGTGTTATATGGATGATTTGGGGAGAAAAGTCAAAATCGACTTGATGAAAATAATTCTAAGCTTTAAGGTACGGCATTTTCTCTTAAACACAATAAAATATAGGGAAATGACCCAAATGTTTTCTTTCTTAGTAGTAAGACAAGGAGAGAAACATGAAATGCTTTCCCTCCCAGTTTGAAGGCAGCCCAAGCCAACGAATAATACAATTTTAGAACACCGTGATTCTACTGCAGAGTTTTAGGCCAGCAGTTACGATTGTGACTGTATTTAAAAATCATCAATACTTCTTAGTACATGTAACATTTAAAATAATAATCTTCAAAACAGTCTTCTAATTGAAAACATACACAGTTAATTTTCATTACCTCTCTCTGGGAAATAAAGTTATTTTTTATCGTGATTATGGGGCCATGCATCACCTCTCACAATTGCACTTCCTTCTAAAATGATCTCTTCTAATGGAGTGAAAAGAGATATAAGGTTGTTGGAAATAACACTGAGGCCCCCTCAGAAAACTGTTTTCATACAGTCCTTCCAGCAGCGTGAGCCTTTGTCAAAGGGACCCCTAAGCCAACGGGAGGCTTGTCATGTACCGTGTACGCATGGGATGCAGATTTGAAGAGTGTATGAAAAAGATGTTTGCTTTAGGTTTTGCTTGAAGAGTAGTGGCAGCATGCTTTGGTCTTAGGCGAACTAGATATTCTCATCAGGGCAGGGTATGAGACCTGAATTAATATCAGTAAAATCAGAGAAGTCCAAGTTAAAATTGTTTTAATTAATAACTGTAAAGCACACCAGGTTTTTGGGGGGCAAAGGTTAAAAGCTGACACTTTTGACTAACGTAATCTATTCAGTCCAATTCTGGGTGATCTGTGCTTCGCTGAAAAAGCCTGATATGGATCCCAGTCAAGCAACATCCCCAAATGTCAGCAGCCCTTTCACTCTGAATGAGCAAGTGACGGATTCCTACAATCTCCTCCACCCTCAAGTCCTCCAGGCTTCATGCAGGAAGCAGCCTCCACACTTCATTTCACCAGCATAGAGTGTCGCATCTTTGTCAACTCTTTCTACGATACCAGCTTTGACTACTTGGACTTAGCCCAGAGTTATGGTACATTAGGGCTTATCTGCCTGGTCTCTATATGCATTTAAGTTAGCTATCCTTGACCTCATCCCATATTGTCATTTGAAAAATTAAGAAAGTGAGGCCCAAAGGAATGTGATTTCCACAATGTCACTTTATTTGTCACATAAATGACATAGGTGGTCCAGGTCTTCAACCTCAACAGAGAAGAAAACAAGAACAGAAACTGCAATTCAATTTGGATTTTTTTTTTCCTGAGTTTGAAGGAAAGAACTAATGTTTTCTGTCATTTTCCCACTTAACCCAACCAGAGCATTCAGGTTTCTCGTGTCCCTGCTGGAATAAGTGTCTGTGAGGGCCAGGGCGCTCACAGGACAGACCCAGGCAGCAATTAAAGACCATAGCAAGTGTTCTATAGACAAAATCAAAGGAAGCAGAACTCCTTGGTTCATAGGAGATTAAAACGGTAGATGGCAGAGATGTCAGGTTGGAATCTACTGGAAAAAAAAGAGTAACTACTTATACACACATGCAAAGTGGCTGGGTAAACATCACACTTATCCAAACTGAGTAACAATCATATGATCTGTTAGAAGAAATGACAACTCCTTGAGATCTTCACAGTGTTTAAATCCGATGTGTAGACGTTAAGAAGACCCAAGTCAGGAACAGCTTGTTAGAATGTTAGGTCTGTCCGTAAGTAGATATGTTAAATCTACTTAAAATCCCTTACCCCGTATGCTCTCATCTCTAAAACTTGAGTGATAACACAGAGTTATTTCGCCCTGTGAGATGGCATATACAGCACCAAAAACAGGGACAGGCTTATATAAGTGAAGATTGCTATTTTTTATTTACACAAAGTTGACACGGCCACTAGGTTTAAAATTGGTTTATTTTATAGTAATAGATTACAGAAGAAGAGAATGTATTAGAAATATTGGTATAGCAATGATTGTTGTGGGAGTGCTAAAAAAAAAAAAGTGGGTTAAAATGATCAAAGTTGAAGTACTTTTCCCCGGCCATCAAACTGTAGGTTTTCATAACCTAAGGAATGAATGAATGAATCTCAGGAAATCTAAATCCTTCAATATCAGTATCTCCAGTTGGTTCATTGTAAGCCCTTATTTTCTCAACACTTTGAGGACACACCCCAATAGTTTTTTAGTAGTTTATTGGTAATACTTGCTTCATGTGTCTTTGTGAAAAAAAATTAAATTCTCAGTCACAGAAAAATTCCCCCATATCAAAAATATTTTATTGATATTTACATTTTATCACCAACTTGAACCTGGGATTGATTCTCAAGTCCTGCTAATAATTTTGTTCCTCTCAAAACAGTAACAGGACTTCCCCATCTGAGACATGTGATCCGTGACTGTAGCTGCTGATATAGAATCAATGAAGGAAGGTGAGGAACAGAGTTTTAAATCAAAGCAATATGTTATCTTCAGCTTAAGAAATTATTGCTTTCCTGTATTTGAACAAATATTAGAGCTTGAGGGTAGAGTGAGTCCAGCATTAAGAAAATAGAGCAAATTGAAGAGCCTCCGTTGTGGACAGACTGTTAGATGCACACTGTATTTTCCCTTTTGCTCTGAAATTCATTTTTATTTCCAAATTTGACTGATACATTCCTCAGGACATTTGTATAGTATCCATGGAAATTCTACCACAAGTTTCTACTCAACATGCAAACCTTACTCAGCTCTCAAAATGTGGGAAAGACTGGTAATGGATGTTTTAGCAGTAGAAGCCTACAACACCTGTTAGGGAGGAGTCCAGAGAATTCAGGGCATAGGCAAATTGACAAATATATTATTTGTTCATTTTTGTGTAGTCATGATAATCATTTTAGTGAGTAGTTTTTTGGGTTTTTTTTTTTTTTGAGTTTTACAAAAATTACTTTTCAAATCAAAAAGTCATCCAGGGAAAATTAAAGCTCTTATCTATCTAAAACCACTTCCTTTTGAGTTTTTTTTTTTCCATTTTAGGAAGATTCTATATTGAGTAAACAAAGAGTAGATTTGCAAAGGAGTGAGAAGGTCAGGTTGATCCGTGAAGTCAGTGCGCTATACTCGACACTTCTTACACTGTCAGGACATGTTTGCACAATGCCAGCTTAGCTAGGTGGGAACATGAGTAATATCCATTGCTTTTAAAAAGGATGAAAGATTTATAATTGTGATACCCAAAATAGGAAAAGAAGCATTCAATAAATAGAAATAGACTAGAATGATAGATAATAGATGGGTGCATGGATGACAGGTAGGTGGATGGATTGATGGATGGGATAGATACATGATACATAGATCAATTAATAGGTAGGTAGGTAGAAGAGAGAAGAAAATGGATATTCATGTGTTGAAATTTAATATCTTATTTTTGTCTATTTAGAATTTACTTTCAAGTACCAACCTATCTTTTTTAAATGAAAGATGTGTCTCATAGAAAATCTATATATTATTTTAAAGATAGAAACATTCTTCTTGTTACCCTTAGCAATAGGAATTTTTACAATAGAGTCTTAGTATATACCTTTGACTCATATTCTTTATTTTAGGCACATAACTCAGGATGGGAACAACATACATACGGAGAGGGGTGCTTGAAGGAAAACCTGCTCTTCTGGAATACTGAATGTGAAATTAAGCCCATCCCTGAAAACCCCATTTGAAGAAAACAAATTAAGGAGGGAAGATAATTTTTAAAGGCATTATTAAAATCTAACAATTCTACACTTTGCTTAAGAAATATACAATAAAAATTAAAAACATATATTGCTCCACCTCTACCTCCAGGACTACGGAGTAACTTAGGGATAGTCAACCAGTGTGTTAATTCAGTGGTCAATGTGGCTGGTCAGGGGTCGACATGTGGCCAAATGAAGCAAAGGGGGTAGGATGACACTATTTCTGTCACTCTTCAGGTGGAGCTCAGTGTCCCAGTCAGATGGGTGTTTGCTTTAGGACTTTACTCATGTGGCTGAATGGCCTGTTGGGCCTTACTGCTCTTACTGACCCTACTGAGCCTCTGAATAATGGTATTTATGCTCATATATATCTACACCACAGTGGATGCAAGTGTGTTCACCCCCAGTTTACCTGGGGGTAAAAGGAGTCCAGGGAAAAGCCAACAGAGGGTAAAGCAGAGCAGAAGCAAATTATTCCACATAATTGGAGCTTCTGCATTAAATTGTGCTTAAGTACCACTTCTGGGTGTTTCAGTTTTATGAGTCAATGAGCCCAGTTTTGCAAAACTCCATTTGGGTTGATTTATTGTCTTTTGCACAGGAAGGGGTGTTAATCGATGCATCTCGAGTTCAGCAATTTTTTCTGATGCTCCCTTGCAGTCAGGGTGGAGAGCAGCACAGGGGTGCTGGGCACAAACTTTCTGAGTTGTCCTATCAGGAGTGGAAGCTGCAAATGCAAAATGCAGGTAATCAGCTGATCGTTGAACTGTGTATCTATTCGCCTAAAAAATTCTAGCTTTGAATGGATTGATCTGTTTTTAATTGTGGTAAGAAGCCTAATGTGAAATCTACCCTCTTAATAAATTTTACTGTGCAGCATGGTATTTCTCAGTCTATGCACATTATAGAACAGGCCCTTAGAACGTTTTCACTGTTTGATGGAAACTCCATATCGCATCCTCTCACCCCCAGCCTCCCACCACCACCCCCCAGCCCCAGAACTCACAATTCTACTGTTTCCATGTTACTTCATAGAAATGGAATTAGGCCATATTTGTCCCGGGATGGATTTATTTTATTTTGAGTATGTGAATAGAATCTGCTATTATCATCATTTTATTTTTCAATAAAGCACAATATTTCCTCCAATACATGCTAAAATTAATTTTTTTCTCTGAATACACATTATCTAATTGACTTTTTTAAATTAAATTCTATCCATTTACTATTCATCTACTAGACTATGTACTGGGGGGGTCGAGCGCCGCACCTCACCATGTGACAGTGCTTCCCCCACCTCCTGAGAATGTCAATTCTGGTTATACAGTTTTAAAAACTGTGTCTAGGCTTGTCTGTATCGAAATTCAATATCCATGCGGGGGAAAAAAATCCTTTCAGGAATCCTGGTGCTTTGAGGATGTGCCCAAGACACAGGCAGAACGAAAGCGATGAGCTGTCACACGAGCATGGGCACGGGGAGAACCGGTGTGCAGGGAGCAGGCTGCCCCCTGAGTGACTTAGGACACCCCTGGCCCCGCGCTGGAGGCGGCCGGCTTGCTGCTTTGGGGAGAGGTTTAAACTGTAGACAAACGGAGGAAGGCAGCAGCTGATTTTGATCTGTTCTTTGTTCCCCTCGTGGTTACCTAAGACAGGGTCTGATACCTGGTGAGACGTGAATGGTAAGAGCACGTTTCTCCTCCCAGAAGGCAGGAGGCAGCGGGCACCTGCCGGAGGCCAAGCCCGGGCGCCCTCTGTTTCCACCTTAGCCAAGTGCCCCCCAAGACCTGTTTGCAGGGACGCGCGCGTTGGCGGCACCAGGAGTTAGCATTTCAGCACAGCGATTCCAAGAGGACACAGTGCAACCAAGGAGAGGTACAGGGTAAAATCAAAGTATTTTAAGGACCAGCCCATCCACGTTGGGGCCAGTCCCTGCGGGTCCCCAGCGTCGGCAAGGCCCTGTGGGGGTTCTTGGAGCCAGGGGCCAGCAGCCTCACGCGGAGCCTGGCACACTGCCCTGCACCTCTGCCAGGTGACCCTGAGTGGCGGGCAGAGTTCCTTAAGGCACCCCTGAATTAGGGGCCAGTGAACTATAGCCCGTGGGGCCAATCACAAACTCACAAACTCCATGATGTTTACTACCTAATCCTTGACAGAGAAACTCTGCCACTCTGCCCGAAAGACCCAGGGCCATGTCTGCTGCTGTTCAATGACCACGGACCACTGTGGTCCCTGTGGAAAAGGACCTTGGAGGGGCCTGGTTATGAGCCCTGACTGCAGTAGTCACCCCAGAGGTGAGGCAGGAAAGCACAGCCTCAGTTACACACAAGCCCACTGACCTGCTAACCCTGGTATTTCCTGTCTCCTCAGAAAGGAGAAAGCTGTCCCCAGACTATATGCACATGTCAGCCTCCGGGATTTGCTCGGCAGCCACAGGGGACATGGGGGCATGGCCTGTAGGGCAGAGCTGGTGAGGAAGGCGGGGCTTGCAGCCCTGGAAGGAGGCCCCGGGTTCTGGGGCTGCACCCCCTTGCCTGCTGGGGGTTGTCTCCCTCTAACCAATCCTGCTCACTGTTTCTGGGCTGCTACCTACATTTATTGGACCCTAATTAACATCCCTCATGTCACCGGCACCTCAGCTTCTATTCCAGAAAAGATAAACTATGACAGCCACCTGCCCGACTTGTTTGAGGCCAATTAAGCATCTGCTCTGATCTGGTGATGGGCGCTCAGGCATGAGTGGGGGTCGCTTTGCCTGTGAAATGTCTAGATTCACCAGATCCAGCACAGCTGGAGGCCTCCAGCTCTAAAATGCACGCCTCTGTTTTCCCCATTAGAGTTTGAACAACATCTAACAACCAAGCTTTTGCAAGCGTGCAAGGTTTCCCAGAGCATATGAGCACATATCACCCTGTCTTAGAGACGTGGTTGCCGGGCTGCTTTCAGGCCACGCTCTCCCTGCGTTCTGTCCTCCGTGCAAGCTGCAGGAGAGAAGCCTGCTAGGGCTGATGGTCGTTGGTCAATGTGGTCAACTGCCTTGAGGTCTTCGCCACTTAGAGAAGAGTGGGTCACAAGCCTGGAGGCGACATGTCCCTGAGGACGCCTTGTTTTCTTCCTTTTTAAAGACAGGGCTGAGACCTCGCAGCATTGCTAAGGAAAGCTAATAGGGGTTTGTTTTTATCTTTGTGAACCAAAGGATTAAAACTTACAAGTCACATGATTGACTTGCCAGGTTTTGGTTTTTGGTGTTTGTTTTCAAGCCAGAGCTGGGAGAATGTTCTGGTAATACGGGTTTGTGCTGGACACAGAGGGGAGCTGCCTGCTATCTGGACTGGACACTTGGAGACACTCAGCTAGAAGGTTTTCTGGCTCTTGTTGTGTCAGCCAGGTGTGTTACTGCACTTTGTGCCTGTGCGCATCCATTACTGTGTGCATCCATATCCTGTGTGCATCCATTACTTCTTTAATGTTCTTTTTCTTTATTTTGATCAAGCCAAACCCTCTTTGATGGGCATCAATGGCACAAGGAGATCGACTTCATATTATATAATTCTAATTAAATGCAGTTAATTGAAAAACCTACCCAAGTTTTTATTTGGCAGTTTTTATGACTAGAGCTTTCTAATTAAGTAGAATTTCCAAGGGATATTGATAATAGCATTTGGTTTAAAATTGAGAACAAAATCTCTTTACCTCAAGAGAATGAAAGCAGTAAATGGAGACCATATTTCTTTTTCATTAAAGAACAATCATGTTGAATCTGCTCTTAGGAATTTGCAGTGCAACAGATGACAGGTGTAGTTAAGCAATTAGCCTCCAAAGCAGGGAGGCGATGTCAGGCAGCGATGTGGAGTAGATGGTTTGTGAGGAACTGGCTGATTCAGTTAATCCACAAAATCCTTAATTGCTTCAAATGGTTTCAACCTATTCTGAAACTGCACCTACAAATGGAATTCAAAAGTTCCAATTAAAAGATTGCCAGCAGTCAGCATTGGGCTCCGGTGCTTCCTTACCTGTCTTTGCTATTTTTAATCCTTGCCTCTCTAATTGAAGAATGAATTAAAACAAACAAGCAGCCCAAGAGGTGGTCCAATCCTGCTTTTGAAAAGCTCAAAATCCTCTGAGCGGATGAGGATGTTTCCTTAGTTTTCAGACATCCCATCTTCCTCATTTCACATCTCATCTAGGGAGTGGCTAAACATCCTTTGTGTCAACTTTGCCTTCTGAATGCAAAAAAGGAAGAGCTGGAAACATAAGTGACTTAATCATGAGAAACAGAATGAGTTGAAGAGGGGACATCGCTCCCCAGAGGTTTGAGATGTGGGTGGTGCAGGGAAAGAGGACCACCATTCAAAAAACGTGTCAAATGTTCACTGTTTCTTTTGAAATGCAATCAAGACAGTCAGTTTTCATTCATTAAAAAAACTGCAAACTGGGGCCTCCCTGGTGGTGAAGGGGTTAAAGACAGCACTATCAAGCTATCATTGTGGAGCAGACCCCTCTTCTTGTCCATTGCTTCCCCTCAGCAGAGTTTTTCAGAACATCTGCCTGTTCTGCTCCCCACTCTCTCTGGTGAATCCTCTCGCCTCCCTGCACCTCTGGCTTCTACCCCAGTACTTGTATGCATAAAAAAATAAATCTTTAAAAAAATAAAAAAAAACTACAAACTGTATTCTAATTTTCAAGCATTGACTTGGATAAACAAATGGATGACTTACATTGCTACGAATTAAAAAAAAATTACATAACTGGTAATATAACAGAATCACCTAAGCTGGAGATTATTTTATTTCTCTCACTTTCCTTCAGTTTGTTTTGATAGGAGCCTCTAAAATATTAAACGTTGTTATTTGTATTCAGTATCAAAAATTCTTGCTCGAATTTAATGCATGATAGAGTGGGACTGATAGTAAAATAAAAACTGTATTTATACGATTGTATATTTGGTGGATGTTATACCCTATCAAAATATAATAAAGTCATCCTTTCATATATTACAAAGAATAGGAGAGCCTCTTTGAGCTTCAAGCTGTAACTATGGAAACAGCGTAGTCTTAAAAACAATAGCAAGTATTA